ATTGTGGCTGTGCGTGTGGATCCTCAGCCGGGAAGAAATCAAGTTTCAGTTTGATGGATTTGATCTGGGCCATCTCCAGCACACTTCGTGTACCTTATGTGCGGTTATGTACTGTTCCTCAGACGCTGTGGCAATCCAAATATCTTCTGCATCCGTCCTAAAATAGCTGAAGATCTTGCAGATCCTTCTTGGGGGCCCTGTTGACAAGTGGAGGCCAGCTGCCAAGCACATCAGCTGCATCCTAGCCGCACTAGTCCGGGCATGTGTCACCCAGACCAGGCCTGGACTAGAAAGAGCCCCAATCCACGCCATTCCAGGAGAGTCTGAACAATCCCTTCTGGAAGCAGCGGGACTAAGCCACAGTGGCTGGCAGCTTCCCTAGGCTCTCTTCCGCTGTAGCAGAATCCTGAGAAGGCCAGATTCCAGCCACAGCTGCTGCCTGAGTGTGTGGGCCTGGTGCCTTCATCCCATCCCCTGCATGGCCACGACCCCTGGATCCTTCTTCTTCTAGAAGGTGAGCCAGTGCTCCCGCTGGCAGAGGTCACCGGTCACCCTTCAGTGGGAAGTCAGGCTGTCTGCAGTGGGGCTTGTCCCACTTGGCAGACAACTCATTTTTTTTTTTTGGTAGGGAAAGAACTTGGCAGAAGATGCCAGGTTAGCAGAACTACCTCTTCTTGACTTCCTAACCAGCCCAGCGGGTACTGCCTGGGGTGGCCAAAGGGCTTTCTGTATAAGTTCTCCGGGCCACCTCTCAGTGCACCTCCCTCGTGCATCTGCCCATGATGCTCATTTTCGTGCACACCCATTTGCCTGTATTCACCACACACATACACACGCTCTCACCACCCAAATGGGCAAATCACTCTTGTGAACCATGGCACATTCCTGTGCTTAATAGATGATCCTTTCCTATCCTCTCCCAGTCTCCAAGAATGATGTCATTTACCAGGAATCAAAACCAACCCTCTGGCCGGGCGCGGTGGCTCACGCCTGTAATCCTAGCACTTTGGGAGGCCGAGGCGGGCGGATTGCTCAAGGTCAGGAGTTCGAAACCAGCCTGAGCGAGACCCCGTCTCTACCAAAAATAGAAACAAATTAATTGACCAACTAAAAATATATATAGAAAAAATTAGCCGGGCATGGTGGCGCATGCCTGTAGTCCCAGCTACTCGGGAGGCTGAGGCAGTAGGATCGCTGAGCCCCGGAGATTGAGGTTGCTGTGAGCCAGGCTGACGCCACGGCACTCACTCTAGCCTGGGCAACAAAGTGAGACTCTGTCTCAAAAAAAAAAAAAAAAAAAAAAACCAACCCTCTTCCCTAAAACACAGGGCAGAAAGGATTAAAGGATCTGGCTACCTGTGGAGGTGCAGATAACTATGAGCTTTGTCACACAGATTATAGGGTGTCAGGGAGCCTTCTGAACTCTGGGCCACACCAATATGAACAGACAGCACAGATGAATACCTGCCTGTTTCTGTGGTGCCCCACTGATGCCAAAAGCATACCCACAGAGCTCCTTGACTGCTGGACACTCCACTGCTCCTGGTCCCACCCAACTGGAAGCCCTTGGTTTCACCCTCACTTAGCGACTTGGACACGGAGCTTCACCGAACTCCTTGCAACCAACACTATGCTAGGCAGGTGTCCTTTATCCAGATTATATCAGAAGCATCCCTAAATGGTTATATCCATCTTTTGAAGTTCAGGTCTTCCATCCTGGACAACCTCTAAGACACTTACTATGAGGAGTTAGCTGGTAGTTGATCGCACCCACTAGAGACAGATGTCTTTGTAAAGAAGGAACAGTGGGAACTCTAGCTAAAACAGAACTTCCCAGGGTCAGGACAAGGGCCACCAAAACAACAGAAGTCCTTCAGAAGGATCGACCTATCTTGCATATTCATGCAAATCCCATGTGAATACTTTTAACCACTAACCGCCCACCCCCATCTTTTCTCACCAGGGCCCAGACATTGTCTTGGGGGCCCTGATCAGGCCCATCACAACAGGAGACCATCACTCACTTCTGATCATTTTCAACTGGTGGAGCCAACTCAGAGGAGCCATCCACTCATAAACCTGAAGCCCCTATGGGCAAACAGCTTAGGCGTGCACCTGTGGGCCAGCAGAGAAGGCCTTATGGATGTGCTTAGACCAGTCCAGGAATTTGGTGATACTCAGAAGCCTGAGTCACCCCACACGTATTCTGACAACTCACAGGTATAGCCTCCAAGGCTTCCTGAGCTGGGATGAAGTCATGCTTGACTGGTGTCCTGACCCGCAGTTATTTCCTGGGCCCTGTCTTGACCACACATGTGGGCCACCTTCCCCCTCCCCCAAATACATACTCAAAATACTGGGGTTGACTTGGCCAAGTATCTGCAGCCAAGTGGAAAACTCTCGTAATACTCGTAACAATTAAAATTCTACGGTTACCACAGATATTCAAAAACTTACTTTTCCTGCTCTCTTCCACCCTCATCCAAGCCTACAGTAACTCAGCTCATCCACGTCTGTCTGGCTGGTGAGCCTCCCAACCACGTATGTGGAGCCATCATATTGCTAGAGGAATGTTTTTCTTCTACCTATTTTTCAGACTCCAGTTCTGTTCAAAGCCAACTCATGGCACACAATTAACATTAGAACAGTCTTTAAGGCTTGGAGAGATGAACTTGGCACCAGAGGCCCTTGAGGAATGGCCACTGAAGCTGAGACAGCTCCGAGACAGGAAGACTTAGCCCCGGCCACTAAGAGTGGGCACTTGACTGTCAGTGATTGGAGTTTTCAAACACCTGGGTTCTAGGCAACCACTTGGTTGAAACCTTGTCATACAATTCCAATTACAGGAGTCAGCCAAGGCCACCTGGACTTGAGGAAGATCCTCTACTTTGAAAAAAATTGTAGCTAAGCTCTCTTAAAACCCACCAGGATGACAAGATACCAGCCACAAAGTAGTGCCTACATTTAGCAGCACCCATTCTGTAGGGACTCCCAAAGTGCAGAGAACGGAGGAGGCTAGCTCTGCCATTATGACCCCTCCAGCACATTCCTTGGGGAAAAAGAAGACACAGGTGTGTATTCTTTCCCGATGCCAACCCAGAAGGACCAGGATGGCAGGTCTTCTGGCAGGACGTGCTTAGGTCAAGGTCAGGCCCAGGAAGATTCTGAAGGCTCCTTTTCTCATTTCTGATGCAGAAGCCCCTGGAAAGCTGAACTCTATAATGGTCTTGGGCCCTTGAAATGCTGACACTATGGATGATGTCACCAAGACAATATGGCCATCTCCTGTGCCAGAGCCCCACTTCCAGCCATGGTAGCCCTGTTCGCCAAGACAGTTCCAGCCCCACTGTCAACCCAGTGGCCTCAGTTTCATGCCGATTCTGGAGGCATAGTCCAAAGCCTAATGTATGCCAAATCTATCTCCCTATCCTCCGTGTTTGCTAAAAGAATAAGGAGGCCAGACCCCAGAGCGGTCCTACCTTTGCACAGGACTGATTTTTAGCCGGAATCCATTCTGTTTATTTGCCTGTGTATTTCTAGTTATCGAATATATTTAATATCATCCCTGACTATACGCCACACCGTCGGCATGACCCATGCCCCTAACTTGTCTCTGATGAGGTTTCCTGCTTTGTCTTTCTTTATATGACCCAGAACACACTTTCCACATTACAGATTATTAAGCACGAAATGCCTCCTCAGCACCAGGCACTGTGCTAAGCCCAGGGACACCACAGAGAATATAACCAAGGGCCCTAAGAATCCTCAGGGCCCCCTGGTTACCACTGGCCCCTGGGACCTCACCCCAGACATGCTTGCTTCACCGGAGGGAAACAGATAATCTGACACATCAGAGGAAAACCCACTGTGGATGCCTGGAGCCCTTGAGCAACCACAGACATGATTACAGGATGGAGACATCATCTGGGTCTCCTCACCCTTCTTGTAACATGCCCTTGCTGAAATTGGAAAGGTGCTTTCGGATCCCTGTAAGGTCACAAAGATGGCTAATCCCATCGCTTGCTGCCTCCAAACTCCCCTGGCTGTGCACGTTCTACCCAGTGGCGCCTTCCCTGCCTGCCTCCACTCCCCGCCAAGAGGAGGAATGAGACCGTGTCAGGTTGGTTTAAGGCTTGCACCCCCTTTTTCTGGCCAGTCTCATCCCCTGGACTTTCCTCTTTGGGGCTTCCCTTTTCCCCAGATTGCTTGCCCTGGCATTTTTGACCTCCAGGCTCACCCTTGTCCATCATGCTGGCCACTCCTGCTCCAAGCCAGCTCTGCCCAGTGCCTGTCCAGGCTGGGACTTTGGCTGGCTGGATATTATTTCCTCCTTCAATACAGGCACAGCTGGGTGTGTTTTTACCACTAGCTCAACTCAGAAGCATCTTGGACTGATTCCTTTCTATCTAATTCAAGTGGTGGAGTGTCCCTTCCACAGCTGCACCACTTCCTGAGGTGCCTAGGGCAACACCTTCCTTCTCTGAATTGACTCATGCCCTGAGATGTGGAAAGGGTGGTTGTCCACAGGGATAAGCCACAGGAGGACTGAAAAATGTCTCAGCGCAGGGCTGGGCGTGGTGGCTCACGCCTGTAATCCTAGCACTCTGGGAGGCCGAGGCGGGCAGATCGCTCAAGGTTAGGAGTTCAAAACCAGCCTGAGCAAGAACGAGACCCCGTCTCTACTAAAAATAGAAAGAAATTAATTGGTCAACTAAAAATATATAGAAAAAAATTAGCCAGGCATGGTGGCGCATGCCTGTAGTCCCAGCTACTCGGGAGTCTGAGACAGAAGGATCGCTTGAGCCCAGGAGTTTGAGGTTGCTGTGAGCTAGGCTGACAGTAACCTCAGCACTCTAGCCTGGGCAACAGAGTGAGACTCTGACTCAAACAAACAAACAAAAATGTCTCAGCACAGATGGTTGTCACTCCAGCAGGACCGTCAGGGGTGACATGCTGACTGCCATCAAAGGACGTTCTCACTGGGGCTGTGACAGGCAACATTCACCTGATCGTTAAAGAGATGATTTTATTCAGGCTAGTGTGATAGGAGAACATTCATTAGGAACATCTCAAAGAAAAGGAAGAGGGCCTGGGGTTTTACAGAGGCAGGTAAACAAGGGAGTCATCCCAGAGTCTCACCGGAGTTGTGAGGAAGGATGAAGATGAATCTTCCATCAGAAACTGTGAGATCCTGACCAAATATGGTCCTCAGTGGTCAGCAGATTCACCAGTTCTGAAACACAAAGGGGTGGGAACATTTCTTAACCGTCATTGCTGAGGTTGCACGGGGCTCAGACGAAGTTGACTATTGTCAGTCCCACTTTTGTCCAAGATGAATATCATCATCATGGGGCAACTCAGAGCAAGCACAAACCTCCTAAGTGGGGTGATGCAGGCCCTAATAAGCTGTCCCTCAGGGTTGGTTATTGTTCCCATAAATCCAGTCGAACCGCCTGTTGAGAGGTGAGTTTCTTAGCATCCTGGAGGTCAGGCATCTTAAAAGAGGGATCCCTACAATAATGAAATAATAATGCAAAAGTTACATTAAAGTAAAGAGCCAGTAGTTGAACACTGAGAATTAAGTTCAGTGGATTCCAAGAGGTCAGCAGAAGGAAATCTTCCAGCACTGCTCCTTGAGTTTCTCGAAGCTAACATGTCGATGACCTTGGTGATGTTGTCCCTAATCTTGGCTACCCTCACATGAGGGCACACGGGACCCAAGCATTTTGTTGGACTTCCTCAGTGGTCTAGACTGTGCCTTGTCCAGGGAGAATCCCCAGCCACTCATGGCCTGCTGAAGTGCGGACAGAGTCCTTTGAGGTTTATGCCAAGTCACTGAGTGTTAGCTTACAGAACTTCTTCAGATTCTAGGAGACAAGAGTAGCTACCTGGCAAGCTAGAGTCCTGACAGACATCTGGGCAGTCAGGTTTTAATTCTTGGTGATGCCAATTCAGGCTGGAGGGAGAAAGAAATGCAAGTTAGTATGGAGAACTGAGGTCTGATATTGAAAAACACTGAAGTAATTGAAAAGTTGGTAAAGATTGACAATTTGAGCAAGGCAATAGGATCCAGTGAAATTTAAAGGAAGGTCTCCAAACTGGTTTTTCCATGAGGAGTAGGAGAAGGAAGCCAATTAAATCTCATCAAACATGACAGAGTTTGCATAGTCATCAGCTACCTGCAATGTATAAAGAGGTGCAAGAAAACTCAAAGGCAGTGAACAGGGATCGTATAAATAAGTCCATCCAACACTAGCCAGATTTGACTATGACAAGCTCCCTTTTCTAGAACCTCCTATAGCTTTCTATACCCATTCAGGTTGTGCCCCACACTTTCCTCTCTCTCATTCTAGAACAACTAGTCACTTTACTTTAGGACAAAACTACTCTCTGTTTTCCCTTAACAAAACACATCTTGAACTTCAACTCCCAGGAAGTTCTCCTCTATTTCACTGAGCCACCTTCCCCTTGCACCTCTGCTCTCTTCTTTCTCTGCCCCTCTTCTCTCTGTGCTTCTATGGCTCCTCCTCCCTCCTTAGGGACCTCTAGGGATCTCTGGCCCCTTTTCCTTCCTGTACCTCCAACTTCTTCTTTAATAGTTCCTTCCTACCAGCATTAAACATGCTCAAGTCTCTGCTGCCTCCCAGACCCTCCCTTGACCAGACCCCCCTCTCCAACTATGCTAACCCTGGCTTTCCTGTCACGAAAGTGCTTCCTATCCCCACTATTTCCATTTACATACCTCCCATTCACACCGTAGACTAGCTGCCCTCACTGCCATCTGGCTAGTGCTTCCCCCATGCCTCCACTGACAAAGCTCTCTCCAGCGTCACCAAAGGCCTCCTGTTGCTGCACCCAGGAAGTCCTCTTCAGCCCTTGCATTACCTCACTCTGCTGCTGCAATGGACTGCTGACAATTCTTCCTCTTGACATGTGCCCATGGGACACCATGCCCTCCTGGTTTTCCTCTTGTCTTCCGGTTGCTCCTAGAAGGTGCCCATCTATGTGAATAGCCCTACTATCCAACCAGTAGCCCATGTTTCAAATTCTGGTTTTCGTCCCAGATTCCTCATTGTCCCTTACCAGCTTATCCATCAAGTCACCCAGTACTACCTTCCAGATATTTTTGTTTCTAACTGATTCACTTTTCCCCATGTCCAATGCCAAAGTCCTAGCTCAGGCTCCCAGGACTCCTTCCTTGCCAGCATGAGAAGAGCCTCCTACTGGTCTCGCTGTCTCTCATCTGGCCTTCCTCTCATCCATGGCACACACTGGGATCAGAGTGGCATTTCTCAATCTAAAGTACACAGCCAAGCGTGTCCCTCGATGGCTTAAAGTTTCAGTGCTCACGGACCCAACCCGCCCCCACTGCCTTCCTGTTGAAACCCAGTGGCCTTAACCTGGATGACACAGCTCTTCAAGATTGGACCTTTGCTTCTCTCCCCAACCTGAACCAGTTCTCCTCTCAGACTCTGAGCTCTGTGTAATGAACTACTCATATGCAGGTCCCCAAATTTGCCATGTTTTGGTGCTATTTGCATGATTTTCCTTGAACATTTACCCACACCTTCAACTGACTAAATTTTACTCATGCTTCAAGCCTCACTCTTCTGACACTGCCTGTTTATTTGCGTGTCTTTCCTGGACTACAAGCTCACTGAGAGCAGGGACCATGTATTGTTCAATGTCTCATTCCCACTGTTTGTGCTCAGTAACTATTTGCTCTCAAGTAGTATTTGTCGAAAAAACAAAATTTCAGTGAGATTGAGAGCAGGTTTGGTGAGTCCGAGGGCGTGGGTAGGGTGGGCGGAAAAGGACAGCCACAGAGTTCAAGCTTCAATGGCAGAGTAAGTAGTTCTGGTGACTATAGTGTCCAGGGAGGGGCCACACCAGTGGTTGTTGAAGTAGGGTGGAAGTGAAGGTCACTGGGGCAGAGAAAACAAGGGGACCGTGATCCAATAGAGCAGATGAGTGGCGCTTGTATTGCCTGAGAGAAGGCAGGGTTGGGTGGGGAGGGAAGCTGTGAGTCAGGCTCCGAAGTCCTTTCATAGATGGTCTGATTAAGGCAGGGAGGTGCCTTCATCTTACATCCCAGCTTCAAAGGGGGAAAGAAAAGGAAGCGAGTGATGGGAAACTTACAGAGGACCACCACTGACTCAAGGAGAATGAGCCCACCTACGGCCCTGAGATCTGCGGGCACAGCACAGGGGAATGGAAGGCCTCTGAGAGTGTTTCAAGATGAAGAGGTGGGGGAATTCTCCAGAAAGTGGTAGTGCCTACCAAGAAATATTTTAATAGAAAGGGCTTTCCAGAGAGCCCAATAGAAGGGTTTAGAAGGTATCTCCCCAGTATACATTCAAGTGGTCAAATGACGTGGTTCCTTCCAGTCCGGTTTCAGAATGTGTTACAAACCCCTGTTCCAGAAATTTCTACTGTCTTGCTGCTACAATTCTCAGTTATGGTGGGTTTATCCCAGTTAGAAGATTAATCTGGAATCCTACTCGGACCCTTAAAGCAAAGGAATCAAAGTCCTGTATATGAGATAATCCACACCCATGCATTATTTTATTCTGTGGGAAATTGGGCCTGTGCTTGTTTTTATGGAATGTTAGTACAACAGAATCTTCTCTTTGGGACTACAGTTAAAAAGAACTCTCATTTTTAGAAAAAAAAAAAAAAGCTGTGTGTGGGTAAAGTCCATAATGAACAAAGTTTCAAAAGGAGATAATGCCTGCAGTCTCACTTGAGTCTCACTTATGACAGCCAGTCACCTCCCTTCCACCCCTGCCACAGTTAGCAGACAAACAGGGACAGCAGCAAACCTGCACCACCACAACTGCAGTCTAGGGCCGCACAGGACTGTTTGTTAGCTAATTTCTCTCTGAGCCCAGACTGCCCACAAGTCCCAGTAACCATCAGTGAAACTGGCTGGTTTTTCTAACAGCTTCCAATATGTTTGAGATAAATTGTGCCTGGTTGGTAAAGACTTTACTTTTAACATGCTGATACTTTACTTACATTTCATATTTCTTAGTTATATCTTTCCTCTACCTACCTATATTCATCAACAAGATTCATCCGGTCTTCCTTTTTTGAGTTGCATTTGTTGAGGTTCTGGCATCATGCCAATAATAAGAATAAGCTGGGCATGATGGCCTGTAGTTCCAGCTTCTCAAGAGGCTGAGGCAGAAGGCTCACTTGAGCCCAGGAGTTCAAGGCTGCAGTGAGCTATGATTGCACTTGTGAGTAGGCACTGCACCTTACCCTGGGCAATATAGCAAGACAATTGCTGAAAAAAAAAAAAATTAAACAACACCCTCCCCTACCCTTAGCTTGTTAAAAATGCAGAATCATGGTGGACCACTGGAACCAATATCTGCATTTCAACAAGATCCCTAGAAATGCACATGCATAATACAATTTACAAAGATGCCTCTGGCCTTGACATTCCCGAAAACCACTCCTTCCATAATCCCAGTGTCAAGCAACCTGGCTCTCCAACTGGCACCTCCTCCTTTCCGGTGCCCTCCCCCTACTGTGTGATTCCAACAATCCACTGATCCTCATTTATTGCTTTATGTGGTCTCTCTCCTCCCACTGCCCCACCCCTCCTCACTCATCCTTGGCAGGCGTGGATTCAACAGTTCACCATTATTATGACTTCTTTATAAATACCTTCACTTTCCTTTCCACTTTCTCTCCATAGAATTATCTAGCAAAAATAACTCTGGTAGAGTTTAATTCCCCATCTTCCTGCGCCTACACGTTCCCAGCAAAATGTAGCTGCCGAAAAACACAGAATAACCCTGAAAAACACAGAATAATCCTGCCGACTGGTCCTTTATGCCTTCTCTCCCCCAAGCTTCCAACACCCTCTGCACTCTGAACTCTAAGCACATGAATGACTGCTCTTCCTGTTTTCCTGAGCAAACAGAAGCCCTTACTTGGAAGGGATGGCCCATAAGGCCCTGGGACCTCACCTACCTGGTTCCCTGCCTCTCTGCCCACATTCTACCTGCCCTGGTCCCATGAGAGCACGTCACCTTGCTTCTATCCGAGGCCAGACCCTGTGCTGTGCTCTGCATCCTTCCCTTCTCCGTTACTCAGGACAGCTCTCCAGAAAACATCCCCCTCGTCAAAGTTTCCCTCACTCCTGAATCCTTCCCATCAGCACTTAAGCAGGTGCTATAAGCGCTCCCATCCAAAAAACAAAACAAAATGAAATAACACAGAAAATGTGCTTCCACCCCAAATTCCCCTCCAGCTACCATACCATTTCTCTGCTACTTGGTTAGAAACAAAACTTCATGAAAATGTTGTCCACACCAGTGGTCTTTCTTTCTAGAGCTTCATTTTTTCCTAGAGATCTTTCGAGGTCTCATTCTTTCTAGAAACCGCTCCAATCAGGCTTTCCCACCCACCTCTGCACTTACAAAGGCTAAAGACCAATCACCAATCCTAATCGTACTTGAACTATCAGCTGCACTGGCAGCAGGACTCATCCTCCTCCCTCAGAGCTGTCCTTCCTCTTCCAGTAGATGATTCTCTTGGGTCTCTTCCTGACACACTGGCTCCTCCCTGGCAGAATCCTTTGCTGGTTCCTTGTCATTCCCACACCTCTTAACGTTAGGGGACTTGGGCTCGGTCCTTGGCCTTCCTCTTTATTAGCACTGACTCCCTACAGGATCTCACTGAGTCTGAGGTTTTACTCTGAGCACTGCCAAAACTCTGCCTCCAGCCTGGCTCTCTCTCCCGAACCTACAGAACTCTCTGTCCAACTTCCAGCTTGGGTGTCCACCAGGAAGCTCAAACTTTATATGCCCCCAAACGAATCCCCAAGTTCCTCCCTTCACATCTGTTTCTGTTTGTCTTCCCTGTGTCACCAAATTATATCCTACAGTTGCTTGAGAGAAAAAAAAAATCGAAATCTGCAAAATCCTGTCACCTCTGCCTTTTAAATGTGTTTAGAAGTGACCGCTTCTTTATTCCTCCACTGCTAACACCCCGGACCAAGCCCCATCTTCTCTTGACTGGAGTATTTCAACAGCCTTCTGACTGATCTCCCTGCTGACACGCTCCAGCCCTGCAGTCTGGTCTTCACACCACAGCTGCAGGGATCCTTTTGAAATGTCAGCCCACATCCCTTCTCTGCTCACAACCCTGCAGATCACTTCCCATCTCATTTCGAGTGAAAACCAAAGTCCTCACTTTGGTCTGCAGGCCCCCACTTTCTCCTCATCTCCTGTTCTCCCTTGGCGCTCTGAGCCAGCACATTCCCGCCTCAGGGCCTGGGTGCTGCTGTTCCCTCTGCCCTTCCACACACAAAGCTCACAGGCCCTCACCTTCTCCAGGGGGCTGCTCCCTGCAGGGCCACTGTGAATAACAACCTTCTGCACTCCCTCCCCTCCTCACCCGGTGCTGTTTTTCTCCACAACACTCAAAATCGTCCCATATTGGTTTGTTTACTGTTTGTCTCAGAAGCAGGGACTTGTTTAGTTCACTGCCCACAGCCTAGAATAGTGCCTGGGTGCTCAAACAAACTTGTTCAGTTACACGTGAAAGACAAAGAAAGAAAAATACTCATACATGGCATCTTTATGTGCCAAGCTCTGTTGTCAGAACTTTGCAATGCATTATCTCATTCACCCTCATACGCCTGTACGCAGGTATTACCATATGTATGTATGTATACATACATACATACCATGTGAGGAAACCCAGGCACAGGGCTACGAAACCGCCCAGGATACTGAATAGTGGAACTGGCATTTAAATCCAGGCCGTTGATTTCCATTAATTTGGAACACTCCGTCACCGGCTACGCTTTCAGGAGATGCTAAAACAAAGTGATCAGCTCCTCTCAGGAAAAAATTGGTGTGCACAACGTCGCCTCCTGGCCTTTCGCACAAGCTTGTTAAGAGTTGAGGACGTGAGGCCGGGCCCAGTGGCTCACGCCTGTAATCCTAGCACTCTGGGAGGCCGAGGTGGGCAGATTGCTGAAGGTCAGGAGTTCGAAACCAGCCTGAGCAAAAGCCAGACCCAGTCTCTACTAAAAATAGAAAGAAATTAATTGGCAAACTAAAAAAATATAGAAAAAAATAGCCGGGCATGGTGGTGCCTGCCTGTAGTCCCAGCTACTCAGGAGGCTGAGGCAGCAGGATCGCTTGAGCCCAGGGGTTTGAGGTTGCTGTGAGCTAGGCTGACGGCACAGCACTCACTCTAGTCTGGGCAACAAAGCGAGACTCTGTCTCAAAAAAAAAAAAAGAGAGTTGAGGAAGTGCTCGTTGAAAGCGGGCAAGGGCTCCTTCAGGAAAAGTGCTCAGACCCGCGACCCCGGGCTGAGCACCAACATCTAAAGTGGCCGGCGAAAGAAGAGGAACCGGGCCTGGCTTCTGCTTTTCCCCGCGGCCCCTCCCTGCCGGCCTCGCGCGGGCTACGGGCGCCCTGAGTCCGCCGGGCCGCCAGGGGGCGCGCGAGGCCGAAGGGGGCGTTGCGGCGGCGCCCGACGTCGCGCCCTCGGCGGCTGCGCAGTGCGCACGTCAAAGCCGGGCTCGGGCCGGGAACGGGGCGCGGGGATCCGGGAGCGGCGCGGCCTGGGAGCCTCAGAGCGTTCCGGAGCCGGGGCGAGGGCGAAGGCGAAAGCGGCGCCGGGTCCCGCAGCAGCAGCCGCAGCCCGAGCGAGCGCAGCAGCTCGGCGGCCGCCGCGGGAGCCCCTGGGCCGCCGTCCGCCCGCGCAGCCGCCGCCGCCGCGGGAGCCCGTCGCCCGGAGCAGGAGCGGGCGGAAGACAACGGAGGGGCCGAGCGCCCGAGCCGCGCCGCGGGGACCGAGCGAGCAGCCCGAGGCGGCGGCGGCTGAGGACGGGGACGGCGAAGACGCGGAGAAGGAGCCGCCCGGCCCAGCCCCGTGAGTGACCCCGGCCCGGCCCTGCTCGCGGCGCGGACGCCCGCTTGGCTTCCGCCTGCCCCGCTGGGCCCGTCACCGGCCCCGGGGCTGCCTCCATTTTCTCGGCTGGCGGCGCCGGCCCGGCCCGCTCGGCCCCGGAGTCGGCGGGAGCGGCGGGCCCGGCCTTCCTCCTTCGCCCGGCTCGGGCCCCTCGCGGAGCCCTTTCGCCTTCGCTGGCGCCGGGCGCCCCGAGGCCTGCGCACCGGCCGCGTCCTGCCGCCCCTGCGTGGTTCCCCGGCGGGGCTGGCGGCGTGGGGCGTCTCGGCCGGAGTCGGGAGCGCAGGGAAGTGCGAGCCGGGCCAACTGTCACCCGCTCTGCGCCCGGGCTCCGCACCTCGCCTCCAGCCGCCGGTGAACTTCCTGGTATCAGGTGGCAGGCAGCATCTTTGTGACCGTCCTTTCGGGAACATGCCTAACTGACTTCTGGTTAGGAATTACGCGGTCGGTGCGTTCCCGAGTTCGGTTGAACCCACTGCGTTGAACGCCGACTGCGTGCAGGCGCCGCGTCGGTCCGCGCCGGAGGGACTCAAAGGTGAACCGGGCCCCGCGGTCCCCTCCCCCGAGGAGCTTAGGCTCTGGTGTGGGAGATAAGACGAGTACACAAATAACCACGATACCAGGAAGGAGGAGATAAGTCCTGTGAAAGAACGACAAAGTGTCTGAGAGGCACCCGGGAAGACCGGGCCGATCGATCCTTCCTGCCGTGGCAGAAATCTGGAAGGCTTCCTGGGCGAGGCTGTGCCAGGCAGTGTCTTAAAGGAGTGATGGGATTCGGGATAGGAGGGGTGCAGAAGAGACAGGGTGTGGAGGGGCAGCAAACGCAGAGGACGAAGGTGAAAAGGTATAGTTAGAAACCGTGGATAATTCAGTGTGCTGTCTAGGGCCATGGTGGGGTTTAAAGAGGTGTTTTGGGGCCATACCCTTGAAGGCTGTAGAGGAGCTGTTTGAGCGGCATTCTAAGGGAAACTTAGAGCTCATTTTTCAGTGACTCATGAGCCCGGAAATGTAGGCTAGGCGATATTAAAGGCGCTCTTGTGAAAGAAAGGAGAGAAGGAGGCCCAGTCGGGAGTTGACATTCTGTGCCTTGAATATAATGCAGTTTGAAATCGGTTTTGACAGCTTCCCGGTTATTCAAGTAAATCCATGTCCAGGCAAAGCGAAGTACCTTTTGCAAAAAGCTTCATTGTGTATCAGGCTCTTAAGAGGTAATGGTAAGGTGTATATAAACTAAGCTCATCTGTTACACATAAGGCGTTTATGTTGGTTCAATCACTAAAGTGCATCATAACTTGCACTGTTTATTAGGTGCCTACACTTTGGAATTACTTAAATTAAACTTAAATTACTTATGCGAGATGGCATTTGTGTGAAATAACATAAATTGATTATTTTAAAAATTCAGGTTGTTACTAATACTCTGATTATAGAAAGTTGGACATAGACCTTTTTATAGAAAGGTAAAAATTTCTTTATTAGTTTTTAGTTATGAAAATCTTTATAGGAGAGCCTGAAGTGAAAGTTTTTAGCTTTATTTGCTAGTTTTTTCATATTAACTAGCAAATAATTACCAGCCATATTTGAAGTCTAGAATATGTGATCTGTGAAAGCAGCTTAGAACCTATGTTGTTTTTGTAAGCACTTTTTTGTTGTTTATATTGCATATGACAAATGAATGCTAACCTTTTTCAGTTTAAAAAAATTCTGTTTATTGAAGTAATTAATACATGATCTTTGTAAAAACCTTGTATAATGCACAAAATACTGGAAAATTTTTAAAACATTCTTTTCTGTAATCTTAGATTTGGTTACTGTTAACACTTTTGCATGTTTACTTTACAGTCTTTTTATTGTTGTTGTTCCCACCACCCCCTACTTTCCAGTCTGCATTTTGCGTAACATAATGAAATATACTGTGTGCTTATATACACACGCATATCTTTCATTAAACTTTTCTTGTCATTAAATATCTTCATATAAAAATATTTTTACCCAAGCAAGGGAAGTCTTAAATGTATTGTTTTTTTCTAACAAGTTTGCATTATTTACCTCAGATGAAATGCAGTAGTCATGCTTAATAACTACTGTGGACAGAACTTTTTCTAAAGACTTCTTGTTTGAAGTATATTAATTAATTGCTCTGTAGGACTTGGATCCTGTTCCTTGTTGAATAAAATGTTTGTTACTTGACAAGATGCATGTTGTCATGAGGTATGGCTGAGAGCACACAGATCTCTGCTATATGAGTGAATGGACTTTTAAAAGGACACTCTGAAAAGTTTACTTTCTTGGCTGGTATACTGTCTCCCATACACTGTTTCGGCACCTCTTCCCAGCCCCAACTCCACTCCTAAAAACTAGTCTCTATACTAGGGCTATCCTTATAGGTTAACTACTTTTTGATCATGACATCACAAAGATTTAGGCTAGATGTAAGTAACTGTAGAATTTGTCATGAAATGATTTGCTATTATAACAAAGGGGGAGCTGTTTTTTTTTTATATCAAGGCAACTTTTTAATTCATTAACATTTTAGACTGCAGATTTGTGTATTAAATCAGTTTTTTCTCCCTTGCACTTTATATTCTAAGATACACTAATAAGGTCTCTGTTTCTGTTTCATGGCATTTAAAGTGAGATGCTTGAGTTAGACTATATAAGTTTTCATAAAGTTAATATCAGAGAATAGCTAAGAAAGTCCCATTTAAGTATGGGGTTTGGTTTTATAATTTTGTTTTATTTGTATATTGCAAGTGTGTACACCACGCAACATCTTTATTACTTTGAAATATTTACTGAAGGTTTTTCTTTTGATTAACCTTTGTGGGATTAGAGATTTTTGTGGCTACTGCCATACTTTCCTAAGAGCCTTTTTTCCTTCTAGGAGATCACTGATCACTCACAGTTTTGCCATCTGTCATAAAAATACAGACACAAATCCAACTTTCCTTCACCTCCTAAAAAGATAAAATCCAATAGTAGGACAGAATTTCCTTTCAGGTAGTATCTTTTTTTTTTTTTTTTTTTTTTTTTTTTGAGACAGAGTCTCACTTTGTTGCCCAGGCTAGAGTGAGTGCTGTGGCATCAGCCTAGCTCACAGCAACCTCAAACTCCTGGCTCAAGCAATCCTCCTGCCTCAGCCTCCCAAGTAGCTGGGACTACAGGCATTCGCCACCATGCCCGGCTAAGTTTTTGTATATATATTAGTTGGCCAATTAATTTCTTTCTATTTATAGTAGAGACGGGGTCTCGCTCTTGGTCAGGCTGGTTTTGAACTCCTGACCTTGAGCAATCCGCCCGTCTCGGCCTCCCAGAGAGCTAGGATTACAGGCGTGAGCCACCGCACCCGGCCCAGGTAGTATCTTTTGGTTACCTTTCTGGTGATAGTTCTATTCCAGCTCTGTTTTAAAAATCCATTTTCCTCTTTTCCATGGCTCATTTTAATTAGGAGTTTGATTTTATAGATGTCCTCAGGTATTACAGAAATGGAAATGTAATAGGTGGATTAGTATGGATAATGGCAAAACTGTGGTTGGTAAAACTTTGGTTTTTACAAACAAAACTTTGTTGAGTGATAAGATTATGGGAAAGAAGACTGAATCTCAACAAATCTCTGAGTTAGATTACTTGTAACTTGTTTTGTTTTTAAATTATTGAGGTGCAAATATCTTACATTTGTATGAATGCAGATCAAGCCAAGAAGTGGAAAATTGCACAATGATTTAGTCATCAGTCTATCTTTTGGCTTTTATTGGAGAGAAGACTGGTATTGGAGCCTTCTTTAATTAAAGAAGGAATTGAGCTCTGGAGAGTTCTTAACAACTATACAGTTGGACTCTAACCACTGCTTTTATCAGTTCAGAATATGAGGACAACAAAGTGAGGCAAATATTTCCACTACCACCATTCTTAGAGTAGATCAGTCTGGAAATAAAATAATAAATGGTCTCTGCTGCTGTTTCCCAGGCCCTCCAAAGATTATGGAGAATAGTTATTCCTAGACTAGGTTGCAGATCATAGAATGGTGGTGATGAAATGAGGTTAACAGTTTGTTGCCATCAGCA